CAAGATGTGCATGGTGTGGCTGCACCCAAACAAGAATACGGTATGTGGCTAGGTAGCCAGTAGTTTTGCATGTATTTAGATTTTAATATAAATATTTAGGGAAATCTATATATTTAAAATTAGGTGGCTTTGCCGCAGATAAATAAATAAATAAAAAGCAGTTTTGGGTCTTAAACGGTAGAGTAACTAGCCTTGTACTTGTTCTAAGCTAAGTATAGAACGAAAGGTCGGTGACCTAAATTACGCTTCCTCTAAGCGCAACGCAACGGCAGCCCCGCTGTAATTTTTGATGAAAGAATACCTTCGGCTACCAGCTGTTTTTCTTAGAAACAACGGTAAACATGAACTTACGAAGTATCCCTACTTACCTCGGGGATAGGTAGCTAAACACACTTGTTCCGTCCTAATCGATTCGCTCGACGGATCTACCAAGTACGACGGGTTTGCTGCGCACATTGCATAAAAGAAGCTTTGACTCAATAGTTCGCGCTTACAAGCACACAGAGGATAAGTTTGCACGTTTTTTGGAATGGGGACAGTCCTTTCTAGTAACTTTACCTCCATTTTTGTACTTCAAGAGTGACATGTATGAAGAATAACTGAATTTAAATATACTGAAATTAATATATAATGCTTCTTAACGAAGTTTATGATTAAAAGTAGTTTTACAAGCTTCATAGTGTGCATATTCAGTCCTAAATCTAACAACTCAGGTGTCCTATGGACCTCCTCGCTGCGGAGTCTTACCTTCCCCATCAGTGCAAGTACTTTACTATCTCTGGGTTTTGAACGATTGCACCCTCTTAATCTCAGTATATAAAACAAGAGGCATTGTCAGCTGCAATCCTGTCAAATGACGATTTGTCTGAGTAATGTACCCCTGCTCGAAACAATGAGTTGTTTGATTATAATATCCTAGATTTCGTCCCGTGACGGGTTGGTTGATCCCGCGTTGACTCTAGATTACGATCCAGCAATGTCCGCCGATACTTCTCGGTCAAATGTATCCACCTACACCAAAACATCTTACCAAATGGCAACAAACGCGAATGCTTCAAAACCGTTTAGTTTTCAATGTTACGTCGGATTGTTTCGTTAAATGATTCTGATTACGTTTCGATTATCGGTCGTTCAGACAAGCGCAGGCAAAGATATTAATACGTCAATCAGTCAATATGTCAAAAATGCAAAAGTCGCTCTTATGTGCCCTGATATGTTCACAATTTTAAGTATTTCTCGAGAAGGCTCTTAAGCATGAAGCAAAGTTGCTTGATTATGAGCTAACGCGCGCTTCTATGTGAAAGGACCGCTATACACCCTCCAACTGCTACATTAGCTTTGCGTTGACGTTTCTAATAATAGACCGAAAGCTTCACTGGAAGATATGGTCATCGTCTTATCAACCCCACTGTCCGCAGTCGCTCTTTATTACCCTCGAATCAAGATTTGACCAACGAGCACATTAGTGCAGCCAGCCGTATTCCAGCTCAAGTCCGCCAAGATATTAAAACTTTTAGGAGACATGACAAATTGACGGAAAAGAAAAGTTGCTGATATTTTCAGAGCTAAGCAAGCAACCAGCTAATCAAACTTCCAGTGCAAGTCGATAGGAGGTCTCGACGAGCGATTTCAGCGAAGTCACACAATCTCCCTTGAAGGGAAGCCCCTGTCATTCGACTTCCAATACTTGGCGATAAAACCAGATCCCTAATTTAGCGGATTTCCATGTCGCTTCGCGCACGGACTCATCAAGCCAGTAGATTTTGTACCCTTCTTTTTTACGACTCCACACTTATTTTTCTCGCTCTTCATACGAATATGCTATTAAACAGCCATTTGACAACCTGTAAAGAAGTTCAAAAGTCATCCCTGTTTCTGGAATGTCCTTCATTGTGGCAAAATGGATTACAGTTGTAGCAGGTCCTGCATTATTTTGCTAAATAACTCTTGTAGCCACACTTTCACCACTTGCTGCAGCGTTGAGGAGATCATGAAAGCTGACTTAAGCTGCTTTAAGCTCAAAGCCAGGGTTCCACCAGAGTGCATCAGCCACTTCATGAGTACCACTTGAACTGGGGTAGGAATCTGCTTAATCATTGAGTCATCTAACAATTAGTCGGCTCGTTGTTTTCTGCGTCAGAATTACTTCAATACTCTTGTGATCGGCCTCGACCACAAATGAGCGATCAGGCAAATTTTCAATTGCAAGAAGTACTAGTTCACGCACCGGATAGTTGAGTTTAGCTGATTTCATTCTTTTTAGTCGAAAATGTAACTGGATACTCCGACTCATCCTTTTGGTGAACGGGTATCTATCAGTTCCAATGTCGGACAGTCAGTCAACGATTCACGACTAATCACACTGCCTTGTCAGTTACCGGTTTTAAACAGTTCTACCGTATCCCTGGTTTCCTATCGAGAACCTCGCTTCAGTGACTCCTCCTCTCGCACTCACTTTATGTAAAAGTAGAAGTTCGTCTGCTATACTGATCAGCACCAGTATCACGTCTAATTTGCAAGGCTTCGTTCGAGACGCCCAGAAACAAGACATCTTAAGCTCTAAGCCAAAGACCAAAAAAGGCATCGATCCGGGATATTGAGGAATTTGAGAGCTGATACCATTTGAGACGTGTGTTGGTCGACTGTATTTGCTTGTGAGAATACCTACCATAAGAAATTATTTCCATAATCGGTGTCAAAATTCAAGGCCTTGATGTTTATTACAGAGTTACATGAAGCGATTAAACTGGGGCGGCAGTTGAAAGACTGAGTACACTGTCGTCTTACCGTCTACGATTTTGTAATAATAGGCGAATGACAGTGTAAAAGCAAACTCTGATAGGCGGTTTCAGGGATGGCTGACTACCTAGCGTTCTGGTAGCCACTCTTTAACTAAAGCTCGCGTGCTGTGCTATATTTGAAAAGATTGAAATTGTTTGCAACTTTAATTACGATGTGGTGCGTAAGAAGAGCGACCTCAAGACGCGATCGATATGACAAACAACGGTAAATGTGGGTGTGTTACGCGTGCCATTAAGTCGATAACGATATATAACGTGCTTCGGCACAGACCACAATTTAGTATGAATTCGTTTATAACATTCTTAAAAAAGTCCTGACGGCGCGTCAACAAAATTCTGTGCACCACTCCGTGACGGCTTTTGCACTTGATGCCCACGATCCGATCCGAACGATGCATTCGATGTCGGATATTTATCACACTTCATCATGAAGTAATGCATTTAGCAATATGTTGTGGGTTCTTAAAACTTGGACCTCTTTTGTGATGTGTTTTCCTTCATATTGGCTAACAGAAAGTATGCAGCTGGTGGAGAATTACTGGGGTTCGTGATACCCGAGGACATATCTGGATGACCCGTCTCCCATGCCGAGAAAAGCTGCTAAGTCAACACAAGAAAGCGACGAAATGTGATTACGATATTTCAATCACTTTGATCGTTTTTTTTCTTTCTCGCAAGCTTATGTGGTTCTCTTCGCTCCATGTACCTCTAACTAACATCCCATGTTAAATAAAGAAAAGTTAAACATTTAGCCACAGCTACATGTGCATGTTTTTTCTAGAACCTATTTCGTTAGCTCATTTTGCAAGAACAAACATAAAATAAGAGAAAAAGAGCTCGCATCTGTTTCCTGTACCAGACATGTTGTTGGGCGACTTCTATCACAAATAATAGAAGCGCAACAAAGCTTTGTGTAGCGACACCCTGTACGACTCCGTCGACGTACATACACTACTCACTGGACAAAAGTTGCTGTCGAGTGAAAACAATGCGATTGGCGAAAGACCAAAATACATGGCAAATCGCCTGCAGGCCTGAGCTCAAGCCTTGCGCGAAAGTGGAGTGGCCGTTAAGCATGATTTAACATATCGAATGTAAAATGAGCCTCGAATATGCGATTCTAGATTTGTTATCAAATCATGTAGACGTTGTCACGAATCTTTATCATCTAGGCACCGGCTTTCTGTTTTCTGTGATTGGAAATGGCTCATAAGGTCGTTAAAGAGATACGAAGACTACATGAGATTCTCAATCGCACATGCACATGCACATTTTAGTAGTATCTGAGGAGAGATTTTATCCCACCTACAAATTTAATATTTGGGTAAACGACCTGCAAAGTTTTCCTTTAATTGACTTAAAATTGACAATTGACAATTGACAAAAGCGCGACGAAAACACCACAAAGACGGGACACCCTGCGCTTCCAACGAAAGTCCCAGTCCAAAATTTGCTGCGATTTGTCGAACGATCTGAACCAACCTAATGGTTTCCATGATGTCTCTTTTTGCCATGGTCATAGCTGCCGCCAATATCGTCGACCACGTACAATCTCACGGCTTCATTGCCAATCCCCCACCTTCATGGAAAAAGGGAAAAACCGGGAACGAAGAATGGATCGTCCAGATTGAGCCTCAGTGGAAGGGTGACTGGAACAAGGCCAGAAATGATGACGAGTTTCTGGCAACTTTTAAGCAGATAGCCGCTGCCAACAACTTCAAGAATGCTCGATCGCTGTTGGATAGCGATCCGGTATATGGCGCAGATTGCGGTTACACAGATCCCAATGGGACACCCGTTGACCCGCCATCAGACGGCACAGCGACCTTTTCGCGTGGAATCGCGCACGTTGGTCGATGCGAAGTCTGGATCGATGAAAAGATAGCCCTGCAAAAAGATGATTGCCAAGCCGCGTTTGGTAATGGTACGATCGAATATAAATCTGTTTTGAAACCCATCGACTACTCGCTATGCGACAAGGATAAATGCTTGATGCCTCACTGCGTCTATTGAATAAAATATTGAAGGAACACTTGTGATAGAAACGTAGTTTCAAAAAAATGATTGACCAATGAACTATTGTATGGAATGATTCTAAATGAAGGTAAATGCACGGAAATATAAGCAAACATATTGATACAGCCGCACTCACGTCCATGCTGATGAGCTGCATAATGGTCATTGGTGCGATGCCCACGGTCTGATGAATATGCTGTGTGTGGAAGGTACTTAACCCCCGTATGGACCATCCCCAAATCGTGTGATTCATTCCCCCATGCGGATCATACCCCCTGTGTGGATGGTACCTTGTCTGGATCATCCCTGTTGATGCAGCCCAAACCATAACACTCTCTCTTGCACACTACCGCAGGGCATTTCAATAAACTTCCTTGATGAATCCTGCATCTTTGGCTTCTTCTTCCAACAGACGTTGACATGAAATATTGAGCCCCTGTGGTGGTATCATCTACGCAAAACATGAATTGACACCACCGACGTATGTAAGTTAAAACGGTATAGAGTTTTACATAAAAATAATTTATGACACCCTATGCGTGGGTTCGAGCCCCACGGGGTGTGAAAATAGCCATCAGAAAATGCTTGAGCAAACAGACGATAGATATGTTACTGCTTACTGCTCAGATCAAGTTTGGAACCAGTGAGAATATCCCTACGTTGTTCATTAAGGAAGTGCTTCGGCTTATGAAATTAAAGTAATGCTACACTCTTGTGCTCCGGCTTGTGAGATTAAAGTAAGGCTACACTCTTGATTACCAATTATTATTCGTTTCTCAAAATGAGCTCTGCCACACTATACGAGTCAACGTTGATCTTAGTGTCATATCTATGAATTTTATTTTACCGTCTTAAGTACTTACTTCTCTTGCAGGTGAGTAAACGTAGCTGCAGCATTTTAAGTCTTTACGCTAGCACTTAAAATGTAAGACATAAAACAGAGACTTGCCGCATTCCGATTTGTTTTTAGTATTTGATCCACCCTGGCATATATATCTTCGTACACTGAAGCTTTACAACATTTGATATTTGACAGCAATTTTTTCGAACATGACAACTCTTCGAGGGGTTTTGAGCTAATGCCGCCACCCATCTTACATCAAAGAGAATCTATATAATGCAGAAGTGACTTATAGTATCAAGGTAATGAAGATCATTCGTCACGGGCAAATCAACTCATACATCATCACTCACAACATCCAAACATGCTTCATAATGCTTATTTTGAAATGACACCGCCGAATGCATGATAGAGAAGTCTATTGATGTCAACGATTACGGCGACGGTTAAAATTCGTGTAGCATATTGATTCCAATTGTAAAGGCAGTAAACTTTATTGGTCCAGGTAAATTAAACTAGATTTATAAGGCTTATAGGTAGCAAGCACATGAGCTACGAACTATTCGTCTTATACGAATGTTAACGATTACAATATAGCCTTCATGTTTCATCGTTCTGGCTTAGACTCGACCCCTTTGTGGTCACGTTCTTCTTAACACAGCTTCCAGGCAGAGCTTTGGATTATTGTATAAGCCTAAAAAGAGCTTTACTAGATTGAAGTGGTTTATCAGCAATGCTTGACATAAATTGTTCCGTCTTTTGCATGAGTATATTGCTGAAGCGCGTATATTTGAATCCTTCCCATGACATCTTCTAAGCTTTTCTCTGCGTCTAAGAAACACAGGCTCCATGTGTACGAAACACTTAATATGGTACGTTCCCTTGCAGTGTACACTTGCAGATTAAGTACGGAAAGCTTATAGAGGATATAGTGAACATTGTTCCATTTGATGTTAGTGTAGCTCATGCTTTAAACAATATTAGACTTCGTATATTATATAACGACAACCCTTTGAAAGGTGCGATAGGACAGAATTCATCAGACAAAAATGTGGATAACCGAAAAAGTACTCCTTGCGTGCTTCGATACACTTTTCTGTTTTCACCAAAAACCTAGCTATACACACTCACTAAATTCACTCTTATTGTACTTTTCAACAGAAAACAGATTGACAGATTCTAGCATGCTCCTTTCAGTGCTTAGCAATACAGCGTAGACTGATTGAATCCGTATCTGTGCGTTTGTGAAGCAACCACCTCGACTTGATGTAGATAGATGTCAGGGCGTTGATGACCAACATTTTTTGACACCGCTTCAAATTTATAGCTACATAGAGGGCTTTTAGGCCTCTGATGGGTCTTAAGCGGAGCTTGCAATATTGTTTCCTGACACCAACCACTGCCGCATCACGAACTGGAAGTCAATGACACGAAACAAGCGTAAAAAATCGCGGCTCTGAAGAATGCTACACTTACGTCATATATATTGTGATCGATACAATGATCCTCATGTTCTACCGAATCGTCAGATTAAAAAACACGACAGACTGGCTTTTTATACTTCGAAACTACTTAAGCAGCATGCGCACCAAGTGATCAGTCGTGGTCGCAACACAGACACTGCCATAGAATGTAAAATTCACTTTCCTCACCAATTGTGCAAGAGTCTTTCGATTGATAATCTTGTATTCAACCGCGAAGCTATCACTCAGAGAGTCGAACCTGGCGTCACAATATTATATCTATGAAAAACTGGGTGGTTTACTTGAGACTAGGACGTATTGCTTCTATAAAATAGCGTTGGATGCATGAAGCCTAAGAATTTCTTACGCGGTGGCATCGAGATACCGCATGATAAGAGTATGACACCTGGTTTCGCGGTCTTTGTTAAAAGGCAGAAACACGAGTTGAAACACCAGTACTGTAGAACGGATGGCTTGACAATTGCTTTGAAACATTAGATTGCCACAGAATTTAAAGCTGTTGATCGTTTCTGGTCTTTCTCACATGTATTAATGCATACTAATGGCACTGCATTACGAGCCATCTGAAAAAAAATTAAATTTCAAGTACTCAAAGCGCCTAATTGTCGACTGACGAAAGCCTCATTCCAGCATTTGCAGCGACTAGCCCACCAAAACTCTAACTATTCACGCCAAAACAACTCATGATTTCCACGACATCTATCTTTGCCATGGTCGTAGCTGCCGCCAATATCGTTGATCACGTACAATCTCACGGCTTCATTGCCAATCCTCCCCCTTCATGGAAAAAGGGAAAGAACGAGAACCAAGAATGGGTTGTCCAGATTGAGCCTCAGTGGAAGGGTGATTGGGACAAGGCTACAAGTGATCAAGGTCTTTTAGACACATTTAAGGAGCTCGGGGCTGCCAACAACTTCAAAAGTGCTCGATCGCTGATGGACGGCAATCCGGTATACGGCGCGGACTGCGGGTACACGGATCCCAACGGGACACCTGTTGACCCACCATCGGACGGTACAGCGACTTTTTCTCGACCAATGAAGCACGCTGGTTTGTGCGAAATCTGGATCAATAAGAAGATGGTCCTTCAAAATGACGACTGCCAATCCGCGTACGGTGATAAGGCGATGAAAAAGAAGTCTGTCTTAAAACCCATCGACTACTCGTCATGCAAGGGGGATAAGTGTCTGCTTCGATTTTACTGGCTTGCCCTGCAGCGTATTGGGGATAAGACAGTGTGGCAGGCTTACAAAAACTGTATTTCAATAAAGGGTTCGAGCGGTGGTGAGGTAGGTCGTGACGCTGACCCTTCACAACTTGCCAATGCGAACTCTACACAGGTCCCTCCACAGGATTCCAACTCCGATGGTGAAAACAATTCATCCACTGACTCCAACTCTTCCACCGAATCGGCAACTTTTCAACAAAATTCTGCTGATGAAAGTGTTATACAAATGACTGGTGACTCGATCTCCTCGTCTCCATTAAATGAAACGCACGATGAGACTCCTGTCCCTGCTCCGGGTAGCAAGTGCCATCACCGTCGATAGAAGACGCTCGCTCGGTCGAAAAAAGTTGTGGCCTTCATTTTTCTTAGAAGCGTTACCACATGATCTTTTTGAGTAATATTCCAAGCACAATTTTAGTTACCTTGTGCTCTCTATGTTTTCACCATACAATGCTTTTACGATTTCAATGCATAGAGTTTTTGGTTATCTGTATTGGATTAGGTGTCACTCTAGATTAAAGCTCGCTCAAATACGCATCATTCAAGGGTCTCACCGGGCTGAGTCGATCGTGAATCTACTTCTTACTCGGTTTGTCGTTCCCACCAAAGACTTTGGTGGATTCGGTTCTTTAAATCATGAACGTAGCATAGTTCAAATTCTGAATCCGATGAATAGCGAAAGTACGATGTAGAAAGAGAAGTTTGGCTCTGAAGTTTGTATATACTACAAAGCGTCAATGACCACGCATGTCCGCAGGTTGGGTGCAGTGAATGTACAAATGCTGGAATTTGTGAGGTTGAGATGTCGTATGTGCGGCTAGTGAGGTGTACTATTGAAAGTACACTATTGAATGTACAATAGTACACCTCACTAGCCGCACATCACAAATTCCAAACTATGCTGTCAAGCCGCTTCTGCTTTTTTCTCACACGAAGCATGGACCTTTGGCTTCAAGGCTTGAAAGGACAAAAAATATTTTTCGCAGTTGCATCGTAAAGCTTACCGTTTTACTTTTTCCTTCCCAATTCCCACTGTTGCAGCTTCAGTGCTGATTTTCGTCGTCGCTACTCGGGCCATTCCAGATGTGTCGCTCGAAGGAGAAGCTGGTGCTGTGTTTAATACAGCGACGTTGGATCACCATCAAATTTTGATTTAGCAGTCGATATAGAATATAAATCCTTTGTTGATGGTGGAGTAAATATATATAGGATCTAAATCCTTTGGTGATGGTGGAGGAAAGACAATAGATATAATCGACGATTTGTTCGATAGAAAAAAAAGATTCGTAGACGAGCTGACTGTTTTTGATGAGATCTGCAAAGTTAATGATTGCTCGATAATGTCCAAACCATTGCCATACTCTGCAAAAGGGGTGCAGTTCTTGTAGACACGCCACCGTCCTACCGTCGATAGGCTGCATTTCAAGCCAGTGGAATTGAAGTGTACAGCCGCTTGCAACACGACGAGTGATTTGCAGGCTTTAGGGAAGCTATTGTCATCTGTGTACCATCATTGTACGCACCGAAAGTTGAATGAATAAGTGAGCCGTCGGTGTAGTCGCCGCCAAAGACTGGGTCTTCGTTGATAAGGAATGAGCATTAGCAGCTGCAAGCCTCTAAAATGTGGTCAAAAACCTTAATCGCTCGTAGTTTGGTCCTATTCATAGCGGCTCGATCGAAACGAACCAGTCGTTGCTCCTTGGGCTCTTCCACAAACAAGGGTAATGTATTACACGTGACTGAAACTAGGGCTTGATAGATTCTGAGCACCAATTTTGCTTGTGCTTGGGGTTACGAAGTTTGAGTGGTAGTGAAGACAACTCGTCACTGGAAAATTATTTAGATGTGAAGTAATCTTTGCAAAAGTCGATGGTGCAATGTAATGATACGTTAAGTGGAGGAATCCCGCGTATCACAGTTTATTGACGTATTGGTATGCTGAACAGTTCACAGCTGTTTTCAGTGCTAGCAGTGATAAGTTTGATGCAAATTTCGTAGTGCAAAGAGTAAAAAGTTTGGATTAAAATGGTCTCCAATCGATCGTAATTGTTTCGATGGAAGTCGCTTTCTAGAATTTGTTGTACGTTGAACACCAATCACGGCTCGACGGATTAATTCTACCGAAGCTTATCAAGGAAGCTACGGAAATGGAAATTTCCACCACATCCGCACCAAGGTCTTTAGACACGCCGTACTTCGGGAGCTAAGCACTAGTGTCCAATCTGTGTGAAATCGAAGCACCTTTTACCTTATTTGCCCGTTGATCTATTAAAAGTACGTTTATCCCACTGCTGGTTTCTTGAACTTTCATCGATTTATTCTTCTCGATTTTAGGCAATGTCCACTCGAACAAGGGGTAAAAAGAATATGCATTCCAGAAATTGCCGCTACGAACAAAATGTAATACTCATGCATGTAGAATACAACAGTATTGGACGGCGGAATCTCGACAATATTATTACGTTACCGTCATTTGGAATAGATATGAGGATCAGAAAGACATGGGAACAAAATAAACTTCTCTCTTTGGGTTTCACCATCAAATCAACACTTCCCCTTCAAAACATTCAAAATTTGTAAAAATTTTGGCTTTTGCCCTTACTTTGAAATGAGTACGTACATTTAGAAGTCAAAGTATCCAGTAATTTGTCTATCACAGTGAACAACAATCGTCCTCTCCCTATCTTATCTTGTGGGAGCATTTTCTCATGACTGCTACGTTCAATGCAAATTACAAACATCATGTTTGCGCAGGCTCCGGGCTACATGGATATCCATTCACCCAGAATTAGTCAAGCACCGAATCTCCTTATCATCGATCGCCAAGATTCGACTTACTACGATGACATACATTTCTTAGCAAGAGCTGTAGACGTGCTTTTTATCGCCAAAAAATATGATTGCCTTAAGTAGGATGCGCGTAGAGTACGGTGATGCCTGACCCCTCAGGCTACGAAGGGGACGCTGACGATGCTGCAAACGTTAATGTGATCGCTATATAGGAATAATTTGCGGATTTGCTCATTTCTCTGGCTTCATCAGAAATGTGTGTCGATCTCAAAATAAATTAAAAGAATGTTAAGAGCGATTGATCCACAATCTATAAGTCAAAGGATTGTGGCGTGGAGCATATGATAGGCGATAAAGAGAATGTTCTTACGGTCACAAATTTTGTCTTTTAAGTCGATTATCTTTTGAGTATCCTTACGTTGCCCAATGCTAGTAGATAGCAACAAAACAACCAGCCCATTTTGCTATGTCCCAATCTTCTTTGAATATACACCCCACGCTACCTATAAACGCATACGACTATCCTAATGACTATCTAGGTGTCTCCTCGACTTAAAACTTCAATCTAGGTCGTTTGCACAATCTGCACTTAATAAAAGTGGCTACGCCATGCGCGTTATAGCTTAAGCTGCGCTATTGCACACGAATGTTGGGGCATAGACGCTTTTTATCATCACCCTGTAATATTTTGTCTGCACCAAACTTTTCCACACATAGTGGGCAAACACAACAGCAAAAGTTTGCTGGCCCGATTTTTTACGTTCGACCACCAGTTCGGAAATAATTTGCGAATGTCAATGCTTAATTCATTTCTCTCACTGTGTTGGTCCTAATCTGATCCAGTGATGCCACCATCAAACAGAGAAAGCGCGCTCTGCTCCTCGCCCCTGTGAAGCAGTCATCGACATATGTGATCAATTGCTTTACATAAAAGTATGCGGGGCATATAAATCTAGAAGTTCTTTACGGTACAAGTGTAAGAAATTGACCCTACACTTGATGTAATTGTGAATATAAAAGTGCTACCTCAAGTTTTCCAGCGGTCGCTTGCAAAATATCGAATAGTCCAGTGAGCGAATGTCGCCTGCGTGTCGTCATGGTACGTGCTTCACAAATGTTATTCTAAATGACTGACTCATCATCGAGCCAACTATTTTGAGGATATAACATGTACGACGAGTGAAGGTAGCATCAACATTCGAATTTGGTTCAGCAGGTGTGCGGTTGAAACCTGCATACACGCAGTCTTCGGCATACACTAAATCACCGTTCATCAATAATGAGCATTCTTGTAGCTATTAGCAGCTTCAACCTACAATAAAGTAAAAACAGACGGCTTGATCTTGACAGCCCGATTGAAGGTCACTTTATTTTTCTGTACGGGGGTAATCCGAGTATTGTGTTCGTCACCTTATACGTATTCGGAACTGGTGGTTGGTTACCTTGGCGACCAGGGTGAGAATGGCTCCACTTTTATTTGTGCCTATCGTTACGAAAATCGATGCCGCCTCGTTTCAAAGTTCGACTCGTAGTGATGCCGCCTCGTCAAATCGAGAAATACACAGGACATTTTTTAATGCTGTGCGACATTGCAATGCAGCGAAAATGTGGGGGAGGTTAGGTATTGATATATGATGACAGCGAACCAGCTGATCTTGTTTTAGAGTATAAGCCGTGAACAATTATCTTTCTATTTAAGAGTTTGGATAAAACAGGTGTTGTCCTGTTTTTAAATTAACAGTTAGCTTTTTACCATTTAATCAATGTAAGTGCACTATCAAGCAATAATAGATCTGTCAAATACAATCAATTTGTCAGATCAATTTATAAAGCATAGCTTATGGTGTAGACTTTTCAGTAGACAATAAATCCGAGCAGCTGGTTGACAGTGCGTTGGGGTCGGCTGTATACGGTGGATCCAAGCGGCTGGTAGAAGTCGAGCCCGAGTTGCTCGTATCAGGTGAGTGCTGCGAAATTGGCGATTGCTTCGTGGTACCGAAGCCACTGCCACAAAGTTGGCACGCCGGGACACCATCTTAATTTCGAGACGCTACAATCCAAGCTAGTGATATACAAAGCCTACGTTACGTCGAGGCAAAAATGTGCTCTCATCACGAAATATGCTATATCACTGAATCTCACAATTATTATAAAGAAACGTCAAGCAAGTCGATAGCACTTCAGATCCTGCTTGTTATGTCGTTCTGTTAACTCTTTAATGCTGTTCAGCATGGATGATGTGGCATAGATGGTCTGCACTGGTAGCGATGTCATCATTTAAATCCACGTATCCGATTAGAAACCTTACCAGGGAATTTTTGCGATTCTATTAGTGGTGCCGTATAAAGGTCTAAGCTCCGGAGATTGTACTATAATTGGGCGGATAAAGCACTATTGTGCGCCGGCTTGGCCTGACAATTCTGGTCAGAATGACGGAAGATTGATCCCCACTGCGTGACCGACGAGCCAGTCTCATTTATATAGTCACATTGTCTGCCCCACTTCGAGGAGAAATCTAAGGGATGCTATTTTATGAATCAGCATTAATACGACTAGACGGTCACCGCCATTATCAGCACGCTTTTTTGATCGCATCAAATGTCGCTTGCGAATTAGATTCTTTGGTGCAATGCTTCCGCACAGAGTTCGGGTCTGGCTGCTATCGGCATATAGCAAAAATCCAGCTTTTTCTGTCGACGGTCGTCAGCAGGTATAAATAAGCCCAATATGTCAACAACGCCTTGCGATAGATTGCTTTGATGCGTAAAAACGTCTACTGTTTCGCTCTCTGCCGTGCTAAAGCCCCTACTTGACCGCCATCTGTTTCATCGGAAGTCTATCTATCACCATCATATTGTGTACGAGCAGAATTGTTAAGATTTCAACCTTCTCAAAAGAGCTACATTCAAGTCATATGTTTCAAGAAGCTAAAATATTTTGGCTACACTACAGACCGGCATGCAATCTAGTAATTTTCTAAGTGCACGCACTATGTTGCAAAAGCATATAAATTGTGTGAACGACTTGGGAGTGAGGAATACTACAGCCGTGCAATCCCATACTCATTATGCATCACCACCCATCCAATAAAGCACGGTGCTACGTTAAAGACGATAGATTTTTGTTATATTTGAAACAGCATGAATGTGGCTTTAACACCTGATGGATTGGCATACTTTAGCGCTGCTGATATATTTGTTGATTTGATAGACAGCCTAGTACGTGGCAATTTTATACATGAAAAGGCATCCCACCAAAATTAAAACCCATTTTTGATCAGATTCAATTAAAGATAACATTGTAAGATGATACATTGTGTGTACACTCTTGGATATATAATCATTAGTATCTCCTAGGTCTATACGAACAGCTGCAATTGAATATACCAGCTAGTATAGGAGAGAATAGTCGGCTGTTTACAACGAAAGAAGATATTTAGTGAAGCGACTTTATTGCTGAAGCTGTTCAGCAAGTTTTTCGTGGTGAGTTTTCACATTTCTTGCTCTCATGTCTTCACATATTGCCTTCCTCACATCAAATCGCTCTAGCAATCGCTTGAGCTCCACTTTTACATGATCAAATCAATCTCACTTGAACTAGTTTGCCAGCGGCAAAGTTACGATCATTTTTCAATTTTCAGCCTCATTCACTACTCCAATCTGAATACAATGGTGTCTACAGCACCAATTCTTGCCCTGGTTGCCACTGTTGCAAACACTGCTAGCTACGTACAGGCTCACGGCTACATTGCCGATCCAGCCCCGTCTTGGAAGGGCAAGAAAAGAAGCGACTGGGTCGTTGAAATTGAGCCGCAGTGGAAAGGAGGCTGGGACCAGTCTTCGGGTGATGAGGGTCTTCTGTCCACATTCAAGGAATTGGCAACTGCAAATAATTTCAAGGATGTTCGTTCTCTTATGGACGGTAACCCAGTGTATGGCGAAGATTGCGGCTACACGGATCCTAACGGCACGCCTGTAGCTCCGCCATCGAATGGCGAGGCCACCTTCTCTCGTGGTATTGTGCATGCTGGTCCTTGTGAAATATGGCTTGATGATAAGATGGTCCTTCAAAATGATGATTGCCAAGCCGCGTACGGTGATGGTACGCAGGAAACAATCGCTATCTTCAAGCCCGTCGATTATTCATCATGCGCTGCCGATGGCTGTATGCTCCGCTTTTATTGGCTCGCCCTGCAACGTCTCGACGGCAAGACGGTATGGCAGGCATACAAAAACTGTATCCCATTGAATGGTCCTGCCGGTGGAGGGGGCACTAGTGTACAGAACGATTCTCCTTCTAGTGAAGATCCAAATGTTTCTCAACAAGACTTGGACGAGGAAGAGTCAACAAAGTCTCCTTCAAACGGCGAATCTGAATCTTCATCGTCCAATTCTTCAACAACCGATGCCGACGCAGAGTCTCCGTCATCAACTCCAACTTCAGGGTCTCCTTCGAGCTCTTCACCCGAGATGAGCTCAGTGCCGGCACCAAGGAGCAAGTGCACAGGCCGCCGCCGCGAATAAGGGGATAATATTTCGAGGGAGTATGTTTGTAAAAAATGTTCGAATAGTTTGTTCAAACTATGAGTCCATCATGGTGTTTAGAATGACAGTGTAAATCACCAGTGTAAAAATCGCGCAGTGTTCCGCGAAAAATGTATGTCGAACATTCTATAGTACAAGATCACTTGCTGACAACTTATGCGATTTAATGTTTGTTGAACGCAATAGGCGGCTATTATTGCTCTGGATTGCATCGGTTGGGAAAGGTTTGTTTTGTTACCTACGCAATATCACAATTTGCTCAAGGAGATGTGTAAAGTATATAAAGCGCGACATCTCAGCTTTTGTATGATTTTGACAGACAGCGGAAGTCTTAGCTCTTCGATATGGACTACACTATAATTATATCGTTGCTGTCGCTCTGTTATGCAATTACACGAGGTAACACCCAGTCTAGTCGTAAGGTATCATGTTTAAAATTCATTGGTAAACTCATTCTTGGTATACTTAAGTCGTGAGTGAACCGGAAAGTCTACAGGGCTATATCACAAGGGTTGTGAGCGCTTTCTTATCACTATAACGCATTTGCACCTTTACAAAATAGTCCAATTTCCTTACAATGTCTGACATATGAAAATTTCACTGAGAACTGAAACACATGCGTTCTTTAATTCAATCCTTGTTGAACTCAAATTTGTGATAACGCAGAGAAAAGCACACACCTACCGCAAAAATCAAGCACGACTGACAAGGATGTGACTAAGCCGAGGTACTTATTTGGGGCAATGGTGATGAATGAGACTGAACCTTCAGATGCAGTTAAATAATCTAACAGAGAGTAAGTCATTCAAACTCGGTTTGGCGGTTTTGGAATCTCCACGCAATTGTCGCGGAGCTTACGATTGTCTTTTTCACGCAATTCTCGCGCTACGTTTTCGAAGCGAAAGTAGATATAAATTTTCCCATTATTCTCGTGTGTCTAGAGTTCTGCAGTAAAGTGATATAATTTAAAACTGGAGAAACATTTAACTTAGAGAATGCTTCTTTTTCCAACGATTTAAAGAACAGACTTTGTGAGGGTGACTCGCTCCAAAACTTCAATATCTTATTTCAGATTGATTTCTTTTGTATGCCTGCGTCACTTTAACAGGCATTCCAGTCAAAACAAACCTTTAAAATGGATATGTCAAGCACCAAAAGGTAAAAAAATATCTAGATTTTTCTCGGGGTCTATTAATCGTATTAATTACCCTCTCAGCATGATGATGAAGTGTTTAGCTGATATGGTCGTCTTATCGATACACCTACAAATTCGGTGTGCGCGTCTGAGGCATTCGTTATCTATCGGTCAAAGCTACATCATATTGCAAGAAATTGTATGCTCTTACACGACGGCAATTTCAGCATTCGCATTCTTCATGATAGCATTCAACCCTGTTGCCCGTCTGTAAGCGAGTATATTTGTCGAGGGATATAACAACTGATTTTCCCGGGAGGCACTGATCGAAATGACGAATGTTGAATGTCAACGATATATGCAGCACAAAAATACTTGTCACTCTTTGACGTTTGCCGTTTCCGATTACTGAAAGAATGTATCAATGTCAAGTATGTCGATATGGAACACAATTAAATCTCATGCTGAACCAGATAAGACAGTCCAGCATTGCAGGCAAGACAATCAGATTAAAAACCAAAGATCCAAGGAGCTGATTGCAATTCCTCAGATTTTGAAAAAGTAGAGTCGTTGACATGAGACAAGTATTAAGACAGAATTTTCTAACAACAAGTTTTAATCGACATTAACAAATTACATGTTCAAATAATAACTATCTTGAAATTAACAGGGATTGGACTGCCGCGCTGAACCTGAACATTCATCATAAATATGAAACCCTTAAAAAGGAAAAGAATTACGAAGAGCATGGAAGAATCTTTCGTCACGAATCGGGGGGTCAAAGTTGTGCGAAACCTTATGATTTAACGAATAGCGGGCTCGTTCATTCATGCTGTTCCACATGACCAAGTTCTGGAACTCTCCCGTTCTCTCTGAAGCAGTCAAATAGTGGTGTGTGACAATCAACGTAGTGTATTCTAGTTTGAAATGGTCGCCATGCATGTTTTCGGAGGAAGGTGGGGCATATGTTTTGTAACCAAACGTGGATTCGACAGTCACTGCGAGCAATCTCGGGTTTTTCCTATAGGCTCCGAACCAGAAGATGGCGTGTTCCCATCCATGACGGTGTCCAATATAGAAAGGTGCCGACATGAAATCACGCGGGAAGTACCATGTATACATGATAGCCAAATGACCCTTAAACTCGAAAGCGCGTCCATACACTTGAGATCCCTTTGGCGAATCCATACAATCAGTGAACAAGTGAGAAACCCCAAGGCCATTGCTGATGTAGCCATGTTTGTCGACGGCGGGATAAGGGTGACAACCGCTGGAAACGAAAAGCATTGGGTGAAAATTAAGGGCAATTGAATTGATGAGAGAATCGCGTGCTACAACGGGGAGTGGCTCAATTTCGTCGTATTGCACCTTGTGGATCATAGATCGTTGTTCATCGTCTGCATGTGCCACGTTGAAACAGGCAACCAGAAACAACACCAACGAAAGCATCCTGGTGTGAGGTAGTAAGGGAAATTGAAAATAAAAGCTGATAAGCTCCAGGTTACGATCCAGATGCATGAAATCCAATACTGATCGGATCAGATTCATCAATAAAGAGTGATTTGCAAAAATATCCTCGTATCAGGTTCGATTGCATAATTGCGCATGAGTCAGAACTGGCATTTGAGTCCAGAGGGGGTACCTAATGGGCTCACAGCAAGTATGGTAGCGGACATCTTAACTCTACAACTGTCTCAATTGGTTTTTGCAGGTTGAAGAGGCCGCGCAAGTAA